GGGAGAAAAAGGAACCCTCATGCACTGCTGGTGGGAATGCAGACTGGTGCAGCCATTGTGGAAAACAGCATGGAGTTTCCTCAAAAAGTTAAAATGGAACTCCCATTCCCAGTAATCATCCCACTTCTAGGACTATATCCCAAGAAACCAGAAACACCAATCAGAAAGGATATATGCACCCCTATGTTCATAGCAGCACAATTTACAATAGTTAATTTTTAGAAACAGCCTAAGTGCCCATCAGCAGATGAGTGGATTAAAAACCTATGGAATACTACGCTGCTATAAAGAAGAAGGAACTTTTACTATTTGCAACAGCATGGATGGAACTCGAGAGCATTATGCTAAGAGAAAGAAGCCAGCTGGGTAAAGGTAAATATTACATAATCTCACTTATACATGGGATATAATGAACAACATAACTGATGAACAGAAACAGTTCCAGAGACAAGGTAACACTGAACAGACCATCTAACTTCAGACAAAAACTAAAAGCTTTTCTAAAACTTCTGTTTTATTGTTTTTAGAAACCATAAAAAAAACATGGAAGCCAGAAAAATGAACCATTCAGAAATGAAGGATACATTAACTGAAATGAAGAATAATTTACAGGGAATCAACAATAGAGTAGAATCTACTCAGTAGATGAAGCTGAGAATGAAATCAGTATCCAATCTCAGAGAGAGGCCAGGGGAGGGGGCGGGGGTTAGAGATAAACCAAAGGACTTGTATGCATGTATATTAGCATAACCAATGGACACAGACACTGGGGCGGTGGGGGCTTGTCCTGAGGGATGGGAGTGGTGGTGGTGGGGCAATCAGGGAAAAAGGAGACATATGTAATATTTTAAACAATAAAAAAGAATAAAGGTGTTTTAAGAGCACTAGCAAATTGATTTATTTCAATTAAAAATATTAAAAGATAAAAAATAATTTTGGACAGCATAATGATTTACAAATATATGGTTATATGGCCAGGGTCCCAGATATAGTTGAGATCTATATTATCAACCTTTCCTCCTATTGTTCTGCATTTCCTTTTTGGGAGATTGCTAATCATTTGTAAGTTACCTCATAAAGTTGCTTTTTATGTGTAAATCTTGATTGTTTTTCTTTGAATGTGCAGGTGTTAAGCACATTTAAAAGCAGTTCAAAATAATGATGACTTAATCAACTAAAAAGTGTTAATGAGTAGAGCAATACAACAAGACATTCCACCACCCACAGGTGAGATACTTGTTGGGTACATTTAATTTCCTTTTATATGTTTTGGCTATATTCTTCCCAGAAAATTGAAAATAGAATTTAAGCATTATTCACTTCTAAACTGATTTAGAAAACAAAAGTCAAAATATATTTTTACCATGGAGCTATTTTGCAAGTTAAATCCATATATTTGTTTAACTGTATATGTACAGTTATGACTATTTTCCTTCAAAAGATTTGTTAACTTCAGAAAGAATTTTCTGCTTAAAAACAGTATAGAAAGTT